TTTTGTAAAACATGTAATATTAGTATTCGTTTGAAACAGGCAGTTACATTTAAAATTTGCAATTTTCAGATTTTATAAAGAATTTTGTATTGCTTTCTAAAACGGAAAAGTAAGTAAAATTTCTTTTGTAAGAGCAAACGTTATAGAGATGGGGCTGCAATCTATTCATCGAAGACGCCATCAACATCATTAAAGACAGTACAACTGTATTGATAGATATACAGGGGTAAATAATTAGTATGCTTAGATTTGCAGATGATATAGAAGTATTTAGTAAGGAAGAGTTAGAGATAGCTTTAAATAAAATAGAAGCGGCATTGACAAAACAGTACTGTATGAAAATAAATAAAAGTAAAACAAAAATACTGGTATGTAAGGGAAGAAAAAGTTGGGAAAGAGCGCATATAAAGATAGGATACGATAAATTAGAAGAAGTGGTCGATTTAAGGTATCTAGGAAGTCAGATAAGTCAGGACGGAAGGAGTAGTAGGGATATAAAACAGAGGATAGCGCAGGGTCGAGTCGCCTTCAATAAAAAGAAGTCATTTTTACGCTCACGAACAGTTAATTTAGAAATTCGAAAAAGATTGTTAAAAGTGTATGTTTGGAGCACGGCGCTGTACGGGTGCGAAACATGGACGGTGGGCGCGGCGGAAAAGAAAAGGGTAGAAGGGTTTGAAATGTGGTGTTACGGGCGAATGATAAGGATACCGTGGATAGAGAAGGTTAAAAATGAAGAGGTATTAGAAAAGAATAGGAGAACAGAGGACACTATGGAAGTCAATATGAAATAAGCGAGGTAGGTTGGTAGGACACCTTCTCAGGCATGGAGGTCTAGTCAAAGGCATATTAGAGGCAGAAACGGAAGTTAGGAGGGGTAGAGGTAGACTTAGATTAGATTGCTGTTCACAAATAGTTAAGGATATGGGTTGTTCTAATTTAAGGGAAGATTAGCTCAGGATAAGAAAGAGTGGAGGTGCGTGTTCAACCAATCTTAGGAATGACGACAAAAGAGCAAATGGAAATAATAATTATATAATCAGCCGCAGATGCCGACGAAACGTTTTGACCTAACAATTCTCTTAGACAACGACCCTTATTCCCGATTTTTAATCTACCTTTAATTATGTTAATAATTTATTCGAGACGACAAAAATAAATCAATTTTCGTAAAGAACAGAAAAGAGAACCTTAACGCATAAGGGATGAAACGTTTTACGTCGTTATTGAAGTTTATTAGACTTTATGAAGAAGAGATATAACTTAAGGTAGATTTGGTGCAATTTCTATAAACAATAAAGGATTTGAATTTGCCAATCTCTTACGCTCTTGACGAAACGTCAAACTGATATGTCGACCACGTACGTACAACTCATTTCAAACGGTTAGAGATACGCCCCTTCCCTTTAGTTGGATGCACTGCACTATTTCTGTCTTGCTCACGCCTAGTGTACGTATTCATTCTATTCACGCAGGTTTCCTCAAGGCCACATTTCCAACCGTTTGAAATGAGTTGCAAAACTAATTTTTTCTATTCCGGTAACAGTATTTTTTTTTCCTGGATAAAATGTACCCTGTGTCATTTTCTATACCCCTGACAATGTGTGTACAAAATATCATGATGATTGGTTAAGTAGTTAAGGCGCGAAATTGTAGCAAACAAACAAACTTATATTCACATCAGTGAATTAATGTTTTGAATTAACTTTACCCACTACAGTTAACTTCAAATTAATGAGGAAAAAGTGTTGCTGCAGTCACTCTTTCGTAGGGAATCGAACTGGTTTTACGTACCAGTACTCAAGAGTATAAATTGCAGAATAGTCGAACCAATGTATAATGATTATCAGTAATTACACACACATTAATTTTTTTGGGGCTTAAATTCAATACATTAGTAAATTACTTTTAAGAATTAACTTTACCCGCTACAAATAATCTCAAATTAATGAGAAAAAATCGTTGCTGTTGTCATTCCCCCGCCGGGAATCGAACCTGGGCCCCTGGTTTTACGCACCTTCTCGTAGCTTACTGATAGAGTACTAGTGCGTGAAACCAATATCCCGGGTTCGATTCCCGGCGGGGGAGTGAGAGCAGCAACAATTTTTTCTCATTAATTTGAGGTTATTACATAAAGTTAATCCAAAAAAAAAAATTTATCCCTAATACATTACAAAAATTCTGTAGTGTCTCAATAACATTCGTATATTTTTATTAGTTGAGATTTTAAGTATTACATTCTAAAGTTTCAAGGCACGGGCCTTAAATCCAGTACTGAGTGCAAGCAGCACGTTGTGAGTAAGTAAACTTTAGCAATATCAGAAAATACATACCTCGATAGGAAACGATATTCCTAATTGGGAAATTAAATCTGCAAAGAACATTAAAATGCCACGTATGTTCATTACTCTACGACACACTACGTGGTTGTACAGTACACTTTATGTTTCTACAAAACAAGCATGCAATTATAAGCAAAATCAATTTTTATTGACGATAATGTCGGAATTATGCGGTAAACCACCACCTTTATTAGTGCATTCATTATAAATCACATTTCTACATAAACATTTACACAAAAATCTACAAAATAATAACGGTTGATAACTGAAGAAAAAATAATTCTTAGAATTTCCCTTTTCTTTGTATAAAAAAAATAGCAGGTATTATACAGTGAAGACGCGTGTGGTTTGGAGAAAAATCATCCAAAATTCAGGAATTTGTGTTTTGGAAAACTCAGACACGTAGATCTTAATTTTATCATGGTAAGTTCATGTATACAGGGTAGCCCAAAAATAAGCGACTACCACCGACATTAGTTTTTCAAAATCTATTTTTGATTACATTTTTGAGTTCTGCAACGAATTTTTATTATGTTTCATGTCCCATGTCCTATACCTAGTCAACAATTACCGATAAATTTACGAATGATTTCTTAAAATTTGGAGACGCGTTTAAAATTCAGGTGTTTGTTTTTGGGAAATATACTAAACAATAGAACAACAAATTATTTAATTAAATGTTCAAATTGCTGACCAATAGGCAAGTCGATCTTGAAAGTCTCGTAACGCATTAGCTAAGGTTTGTGGCTGGATTTGTCTTGAAAGTTGTAACACTTTATCTAACGTTTGTGGCTGGATTTATCTTGAAAGTCTCGTAACTCTTTAGCTAAGTTTTGTGGCTGAATTTATCTTGAAAGTCTCGTAACTTTTTAGCTAATGTTTGTGGCTGGATTTATCTTGAAAGTCTAGTAACACTTTAGCTAAGGTTTGTGGCGGGATTTTTTGTATTTCAGCTCTAATTCTGTTTCAATATTTTCCGTTTTTTTGAAGTAGACTTTAGATTTTAGAGATCTTCCTGGTCTAAAATATTAGATCTGGAGATCCAGCCAATAACACCTCTCTTTTATCTTTAACAGTTTGAGAAAATATTGTTAAAATAATCTCATACTATTCTCAAATTGTTTGAGGTGCTCCTGTTGGAACCATACCGAATCTGCTGGTATATTTGGGTTCTTAGTACAGGTATAGGACATGGTGCATGCAACATAGTTAAAATTCGATGCAGAATTCAAAAATTAATAAAATAGGTGCTTCCAGTTGAAAAAATAAACTCGGTGGTAGTCGCTTATTTTTGGGTTACCCTGTATACATGAATTTAGCATGAAAAAACCCGCAGCCAAAAACAAACCCCTGAATTTTATATGAATTTGTTCCAACCCACGCATCATTCCTGCATTATTAAACCTACATTGAATAAAAAGGAAATGATAACGATATATACATGTAATGTACATTACGTGAAGTAAAATAATATTAATCAATAAATAATATAATCGTTAACGGAGGATGTCCCAGTAAATAGCGTCAGGTGAAAACAGAAAGGTAGAAGGCCGCGTGGTCCTTTTTATAAAAACATCCTTATGTGTAAATTGTTATTTTTGATTGAATAGTTGATTTTTCTTCTAGAGCTCTGTGCGGACAAATTTCAAAACCAAAATGCTTAATGAATTTTTGTAAGTAGATACTTCTGATAGGGGTAGGGTTGCCATCCGTTCGGGTTTCCCCGAGGGCATCCGGTGAATTTCTGGGAAGTGTTTCATTTGTAGTCCAGATTAAAATAGTGTTATTTTTATTTTATTTATGAAGAACTTAAATAATTTTCAGAATATTCTATTTTGTTTCTTAAAAAGACTAAATTTAATTTATAACTACATAAAAATAAAAAAAATTGATTTACATTACAACTATGTTTTATATTACTAAGTAACTTAAAAAAAACACTGTTGAAATGTGCGATTTCTAAGCTCTATAATTAAGGGGTTTTCACGCTTCATGACCTGGTTGTCAGATTATAGAGATGGCAACCCTAGATAGAGGTATTATTTTTTAGTGTACTCACGCAGAATTTTTGTTGATTTTGAATACCTACCGGCCGTTTATAAGAAGAAATGTGATACTGCGACAGTTCTACTGATGGAAATAAGTAAAAAATGAAGGGGGAATTTTGAATGTTTCTACATTTAAATTCTTATTGGGGTTTACGTTTCTTGATGGTTAAAGTATGATCATGGTAACATTGCCATAAAGTGAAAATCTTCATTCAGACTGAATTGTTATCACGAAACGGGATTTATATTTTTCGCCCTTTAGAGAGAAGCGAACAAAAAAATGTCCAATAAATTAAAAAATGGGTAACTACTTTCTGAAAAAAATTGTGGAGGCTGGATCTAATGGATACTTTCAACTTCTAATTAAAATTGCTTTGAGTGCTTACCCTAATTTCAATAGCAACCGTAGAAATAATTATCCAAGTGATTATAATGAAAATAATTGAAAAAAAAATGACAATTCCGAAACTATCAAACAATTGCTTCAAACAACATATACAAAAGTGTTTTGGTAGATCGTGAGATCTTCCATTTTCTTGTTTCCACCTGGCATTATTTATTGAGACACCCCGTATTTGATTAATTATAACTGAGATAAAGTGGAACCTACCTAATCACAATATCACCATCATGGATTGATATTTTCATATTAAGATTTCCATTTTACTCTGAAATTAAAAAAATTAATTGTAGGTAAACTTTTTACAGAAAAGAAGGAGACAGCTAACACTTTACGTTATCATACGTAAGCATATTTTATATAAAAATCACATTTAAAAAGAAGAAAACCATACCTACACACTAACGGTATCAATAATATTCAAAATTATCAAAAAATTAGCTTTCTCATTGGATTACTGCGAACAGCATAATGAACGCCATCTGTGTTATATTGAATATTGTTACATTTTCTGGTTATCCATAAGGGTATCAATTTTTCGAACAGTCGAGACGTAACCAAGCAGTACAAAAAGTTGCTTATAGACTTTATCGTACATTTACGAATCCCACAAAACGTAACAATATTCTATAGATGGCGTTCATTACGCTGTTTGTAGTAATTCATTAAACGCTGTCTAAATGCAGCAAGTAGAGTTGGTCTGTGTTATGTCGTAATTGTCTACGACGTGCTGACCAGACCTAATAAGGTCAAAATCGTGACCCGTGTCTGACAATTTCAATTTTGTTTCTTGTTGAAGATAAAAAACAAGTGAACAGTTGCCATGGAAACCCAAATTTTGAATCTAACAGATTAGATACATCTTTAATTTAAATACTTTAATTTCAATATACAGTCGACTTGTGCATCTCGAACTACTGAAGAAGATAGTTTGGGTGTCGAGACGCGTTTTATGTTTCACTTGCATGCGAATAATTTACGTAGGTCATAACATATAACAACAAAGAAGATCTTGATTTATTCCATTACCTGCCGAAGAAGAAAAGTAACGGTTTCAATTGTTACAAGTCCCTACTTATAAACGTATATATTTCGTTATCTAGGAAGTCAGATAATTCGGAATGGAAGGAGCGGTGGAGATATGCAATAGCCGAATTTCTTTAAACAAAAAGAAGTTACTTCTATGCTCGCGAGTGGCGAGTTTCTTCAGGAGTCATTCTATCTCCTACGGAATCCACATCCAGCATCGGAGATAGAAGGAACTCTAAAGAAGCTCTTCACTCCTGCTGGCGAAACGTTAGGAAGCAATTCGAACCGACAACGACCTGTAGACCCGAATCAAGACAACAACAATTCGAAAGAGATTGTTAAAGTTGTATGTTAGGCCAGGTTTAGTTAGGTTAGGACGGAGAAGAAAATTTTAGAAGCGTTCGAAATGTGGGGTTACAGGCGAATGATAACGATACCGTGGCTAAAGGTTAGAAATGAGGAGGTATTAGAAAGACCATTAGGAGGATTGAGGGCGCTCTGGAAGTTGATATCAAATAAACCTTCTCAGGCACAAAGGGCTTGTTAGAGACGTATTAGAAATAGATACAGGAGTTAAGAGGAGTAAAAGTAGACCTAGATTAGATTACTGTTGACAAATAGTTAAGGATGTGGGATGTTCTCGTTTTCCAGAAATGCGAAGTTTAGCTCAGGAGGTGCGTGTCTAATCAGTATTAGGACTGACGAGTTTAGGATGATGAACCTTTTAGTCAGTTCTGTCTTCACCTTACCTTGCCACAACCACCACCCACCCATTACCACGATTTCTAAACGGAAGACCTTCCACGTTATTTACCCTCCAGTCGGAGGGATTAGCTGCCCACCTGGTTGGAATAAAATACCTAAAAGCTTTAGGGAAATACGAAGATTAGCTCAGGATAGGAAAGAGTGGAGGTGCGGGCCCAACAAATCTCAAGACTAACCCCCCCCCCTCCTTATGATGATAATGATGATGCGAAACTTCGTTCAAGAAGGGAAATCCCGAATGATATGTTCAGGTCATTTCAATTTAGATAATTATATTTCATCAAATATGTAGGTATCATACTAACTTAAACTTAGTGTTAAAAAACCCAATTCATAAACTGGATAATTATGAATGAAAATTTAATAATAAAAACAATTCAGTTAACTCAATACTAATAATACAACGTATGTAGCTATTTTGAGGTTAGGAACCTACTTTCCTGTTGCAATACAATAAAATTTTAGAATACCTAATATATTTGCAATTATCTAAGCAGTTGGTACTAAAATTGGCAGCATCGTTACGTTTTTCCAAATTTTATAATATGAATGAATTTTAAAACAGCAATTCAAAGAGATATTTTATTTATTTAAACCGTTTTAAACGGTACGCAAAGTTTTCCTTTATCGGCGCCAAATTGTTCAGACAGATCCCAATGGTTTATATTATCTGTATTTAATTAGTTCGGCCACCCCGAACAAAATATTGTATGCCAGAGAAGAGATCACGTCTACCACATATTAGGTTTGTAACAGACACCGCGTACTTTGATCTTTCTGTTTTTATATCAAATCATGTTAGATACTGCACGGTACGCAAAATTTTCCTTTATCGGCGCCAAATTGTTCAGACAGATTCCAATAGTTTATATTATGTATCTGTATTTAATTAATTCGGCCACCCCGAACAAAATATTGTATGCCAGAGAAGAGATCACGTCTACCATATATTAGGTTTGTAACAGACAGCGCGTACTTTGATCTTTCTGTTTTTATATCAAAGAATGGTGACAGGCCAGTGAATAAGTATGTGCTCTCCTAGATTTAACGTTCTCAATTATTTGCGGATAACGGAATTCCAGTGCAGAGGCCACAAAAATTCAGTCGCTTCTCTTCGTCGGTAGCACTCAAGCAAGACAAGAAGCAGATCTGCTGTCATACTACCTGCTTGTGCTACAGCTACGAGGGTGGATTGATAAGTTTCCGGCCTAACCAAGAGATGACGCCACTAGGCCTACCTGAAAAGTCGAGACGTAACCAAGCAGTACAAAACGAATGATTTCTTAAAATTTGGAGACGCGTTTAAAATTCAGGTGTTTGTTTTTGGGAAATATACTAAACAATAGAACAACAAATTATTTAATTAAATGTTCAAATTGCTGACCAATAGGCAAGTCGATCTTGAAAGTCTCGTAACGCATTAGCTAAGGTTTGTGGCTGGATTTGTCTTGAAAGTTGTAACACTTTATCTAACGTTTGTGGCTGGATTTATCTTGAAAGTCTCGTAACTCTTTAGCTAAGTTTTGTGGCTGAATTTATCTTGAAAGTCTCGNGACTAACCCCCCCCCTCCTTATGATGATAATGATGATGCGAAACTTCGTTCAAGAAGGGAAATCCCGAATGATATGTTCAGGTCATTTCAATTTAGATAATTATATTTCATCAAATATGTAGGTATCATACTAACTTAAACTTAGTGTTAAAAAACCCAATTCATAAACTGGATAATTATGAATGAAAATTTAATAATAAAAACAATTCAGTTAACTCAATACTAATAATACAACGTATGTAGCTATTTTGAGGTTAGGAACCTACTTTCCTGTTGCAATACAATAAAATTTTAGAATACCTAATATATTTGCAATTATCTAAGCAGTTGGTACTAAAATTGGCAGCATCGTTACGTTTTTCCAAATTTTATAATATGAATGAATTTTAAAACAGCAATTCAAAGAGATATTTTATTTATTTAAACCGTTTTAAACGGTACGCAAAGTTTTCCTTTATCGGCGCCAAATTGTTCAGACAGATCCCAATGGTTTATATTATCTGTATTTAATTAGTTCGGCCACCCCGAACAAAATATTGTATGCCAGAGAAGAGATCACGTCTACCATATATTAGGTTTGTAACAGACAGCGCGTACTTTGATCTTTCTGTTTTTATATCAAAGAATGGTGACAGGCCAGTGAATAAGTATGTGCTCTCCTAGATTTAACGTTCTCAATTATTTGCGGATAACGGAATTCCAGTGCAGAGGCCACAAAAATTCAGTCGCTTCTCTTCGTCGGTAGCACTCAAGCAAGACAAGAAGCAGATCTGCTGTCATACTACCTGCTTGTGCTACAGCTAGAACTGAAGGATTTGAACTAAATAATGTATGACGATTTGACGACGACCTATTCGTGCGACCAGAATAAATAAGAGAAGAAACAAAAAGATACTACCTAGATACTGAAATCTACACAGTGAGTCGTTCGAATGACCTTCTAGGTCGTATTCTTCCTCTTTTCAAAATGTAAGACATCACTTACTATCAGGGGCAAATCTTGTATATTTGGAACCCAAAAAAAAAAAAAAAAGGTAACGTACAGAATTCCTAAATAGAGCGTAATTTTGAATTTGTACAAGAAATGTATAATTAGAATGCGGAACCCGATACAAAGTGCATTGTTTACATCACCTTTGTAGAACCGACAATTATTATCAAAGCGCAATACCATTTTTAGGAAAATACATGGTGGTAGAGGAAAATTCGTACATATACATACTTTAAACCATCTTTTCAATATAAATAATAAAGTAATATCAGTTCAATGAAGTGACTGATTTTAGGTATCTAGGAAGTTAAATAAGTCAGGTTGGAAGGAGTAGCAGGGATATAAGGCAGAGGATAGCGCAGGGTTGAGTCGCCTTCAATAAAAAGAAGTCACTTCTATGCTCGCGAACGATTAATTTAGAAATTCGAAAAAGATTGTTATAGGTGTATGTTTGGAACGCGGCGCTGTACGGGTGCGAAACATGGACAGTGGGCGCGGCGGAAAAGAAAAGGTTAGAAGCGTTTGAAATGTGGTGTTACCGGCGAATGATGAGTATACCGTGAATAGAGAAGGTTAGAAATGAACTGATATTAGAAAGAATAGGAGAACAGAGGACTCTATGGAAGTCAATAAGAAATAGGCGAGACAGATTGATAGGAAACCTCCTCAGGCATGAAGGTTTAGTCAGACATATTAGAAGCAGAAACAGGAGTTATGAGGAGTAGAAGTAGATATAGATTAGATTAGTGTTCGCAAATAGTTAAGGATGTGGAATGTTTTAGTTTTAGAGAAATGCGAAGATTAGCTGAGGATAGGAGAGTGGAGGTGCGTGTCCAACCAATCTTAGGACTGACGGCCTTATAATGATGATAATTAGTTCAATGAATGTAATTGAAAGTTTCATTTCAAAATATCGAGTGTTATGATGAA